AGGAGGCTGAGGATAATCCAACAATTATTGTGAGGGGCTGCAGTCCTTATTAAGGCCACTGGGCACCAGCAACTATAGCGCCCTGCAGGTGCCAATGCGCCGTTGCACACATGGTTGCGCGACTGTGTGCCGTGCACATGCGCACATTTTTGCTCAAATTAGTGCAGCCATATTGGGCATTGGTGCATTTTCCAGGGCTTCCTCATTTCCTTCCCTGACAGTGCCCCTCCCAAGGGACAGCCTCCAAATGCCCAGGCATGCTCGCTTTTCGGGGAACTTGTTGAAAAATTCCTGAAGTAGTTTAGGAGCGTGCACATTACTTGCTGGTTCCCAGGAACTATCCTCTGGTGGATTCCCTTTCCATTTAATAAGGTACTGGACTTTTCGCCCCTCTTTTTTCCATCCAAAATAGCTTCCACCTCAAACTCAGTGTCTTCTCCTACTGTGACTGATGGTGGAGGTGGATCTTCTTTTTCAGGAATAGAACTCAATACAGCTGGTTTGAGTAAAGAGACGTGGAAGACCGGCTGAATCTTATAAGACTCGGGCAAGTTCAGCTCGAAGGCCACAGGATTAATTTCTTAATTCCAAAGGGTCCAATGAACCTGGGTCCTAATTTCCGTGAGGGGCAGGCAAGTTTGAGGTTTGCTGTAGAAAGCCAGACCTTGTCTCCCACCTTCAACACAGGATTAACTCTCCTCCATTCATTAAAATGTCTCTTATAATCCTCCTGAGCGTTTTGCATGGTCCTCTGGAGTATCTGATAATTAGATTGGATTAAAGTCAATCTATCCTGGACTGCAGGCACTGATGCTTCTGGGGTAACGTCTAGAAAAAAGGAAGGGTGAAACCCATAGTTTGCCCAGAAAGGAGACTGGTTAGTAGAGGTATGGACAGAGTTGTTGTAAGCAAGCTCTGCATAACGAAGAGATGCCCAGTTATTTTGAGTAAAGGTAGAGATGCATCTTAGGTTTTGCTCCAAGGTTTGCTTCATTCTTTCTGTTTGCCCATTACTCTGTGGATAATATGCAGAAGATAGACACACTTCGATACTCAGGGCTTTACACAAAGATTTCCAAAACTTAGACGTAAATTGTAATCCCCTGTCAGAAATGATATTGTCAGGCATCCCGTGCAGTCTTAGAATTTCCTTGATGAATGATTGTTCTGAGTCTGTAGCTGAAGGGGTGCCCACCATGGGAAGGAAATAGGTCATTTTTGACAGCCTATCCACTACCACCATCAGAGGGAGGTAAGTCCACTATAAAATCCATGGATAGCATCTTTCAAGGTTCTTGGGGAACTGGTAGAGGTCTTAGTAAACCCCAGGCTCTGGTGTTGCTGCCTTAATTGCGAAGGTTGCACAGGAATTGACAGTCTTTACAGTCATGTTTCAGGTTGGGCCATCAAAAAGACCTCTGAGCAAGTTCAGTCATTTTCCATACCCCAAAATGACCTGCAAGCAGATAATCATTACATATTTTAAAGATTTGAGGTCTTACCCCTTGGGGAATGAAAATCTTGTCATTATGCCATAGGAAATCCTAATGCTTCCTCAATGACATTTCAGACCCGGCATTTTAAAGGGAAGCTTGTTAGATCAGGTTGGATCAGTAGGAAGTCGTGTGAAGACAGGATAGTGCTGGGGGCAGCTATTTCAGGAGTTTCTGGAAACATGCGAGACAGGGCATCTGCTTTCTCATTCTTGGACCCTGGCCGATAAGTAAGGTGGAAATTAAATCTCGAGAAAAACAAGGCCCGTCGAGCTTGTTGTGGTTTTAACTGTTTTGTGGTTCTAAGGTATTCTAAGTTCTTATGATCAGTAAATATCATGATGGGATGAGCAACACCTTCTAATAAGTAACAGAAAAGAAAGAAGAGGGGCACCGGACTAAGTGCAGCATTAAGTATACAATTTATTTGCAAAACGACAATTGGCAACTCAGAAGAAATAAAAAAGAAATAAGCATGTCACCAGACATAGTCCAGACTCCTAGAAGCGAAGCGATGGAGGGCACCAGGGTGGTCGTGATGTCATCGTAGCAATGTGATGACGTGGGTGGGCAGTAACGCGTTTTGAAGCGGAGCTTCTTCCTCAGACCTGATTGGCCAACTGAGGTGGCCATCTATATAGAGGAAGTAAGAGGCGGAGACAGTAACAAGGGACGTGACTAAACTAGTTTCCCTGCAGCGGCTGGCCGCTCCAGGACACCTTTCCAGCCATAACCTGACACATCAACTTGACGCATGGATACCACTTGTCCTCCATCGCTTCCCGGGAGTCTGGACTACGTCTGGTGACATGCTTATTTCCTTTTTATTACTTCCGAGTTGCCAATTGTCATTTTGCAAATACATTGTATACTTAATGCTGCACTTAGTCCAACGTCCCTCTTCTTTCTTTTCTTTTGCATACAGAGTTCAGCTTTGTTCTGAGTGTGCTGCCACTGATGCTGCCATTTGCAATATATTGCCATTGTGAACACTAATAGTCCCCCAACATGGACTTTTTTGATGGGCTTTATGGACTTCCTTGTAGCTCTATTACACCCCTCCAGCCCCAAATTTGTATATATTGTGTTGTAATAAGTAATGTCACTTTTCCAAGGCTCTTCCACTCTTCCAATGGCTAGTAATTTACGGTCCCCCACATTCTTCTCTGGTTGACTCATTTTCTGGGAAAAGAAAGCCACTGGGTGCAGGACAGCCTTGGGCCCCTGGAGCTGAGAAAAGATTGCTCATGTAGCCATTTCCGGGACGTCAACCTTAAGGACAAAGGGTAAGGCCGGATATGGATGCTGTAGTACTGGTGCAGAGGTGAATAGAGTCTTTAATTTGTCGAATGCCACTTGAGCTTCCTGAGACCACTGGAATCGAGTATGCAGACGGGTTAACTGGGTGATAGGAGCAATGATTGTAGAAAAGTCCTTAATGGACCTCCTGTAGAAATTGGCAAAGCCCACAAACCTCTGAATACCCTTCTTGTCAGTAGGGGCAGGCCAATTAATGATGGCTGCTACCTTTTGGGGATCCATAGAAATCCCATCTGTGGATATGATCAGGCCCAGGAATTGAATTGATAATTTCTCGACTCACATTTTTCTGCCTTTGCATATAGCCCATACTGTCTTTCTTAACATGCACTCGGTGGAGCTCCAAGGTGACAGAAAAGATAAGGATATCGTCCAAGTAAACTATCAAAAAGTGATCCAGGAATTCCTGGAAAATGTTATTTACGAGGCGTTGCAGGAGCATTGCATAACCCGAAAGGCATAACAAGGTATTCGAAATGCCCGAAGCGGGTTAGAAAAGCTGTTTTCCATTCGTCTCCTTTTCGAATTCCTACTAGATTATAGGTGCCCCAAAGATCCAGTTTCGTGAAGATTCGGGCAGGACGGAATCTTTGGATTAGTTCAGGAACAAGAGGGAGTGGGTAATGATTCTTAATGTTAACTTTATTGAGTCCCCGATGGTCTACACAAGGCCTGAGTGAGTGGTCCTTCTTTTCCACAAAGAAAATTCCGGCCCCAACAGGAGAAGGACGACGAATGAATCCCTTCTTGAGACTTTCATCAATGTAAACCCGTAAGGCCTCAAGCTCAATTTCAGATAATGAAAAGATCCACCCAAAGGGAATCTCTGCCCTGGGAAGTAGCTCAATAGGGCAGTCATATGGCCGGTGAGGTGGTAGAGTGTCGGCCTTCTTTTTGTCAAACACATCCAAGTATTCCTGATAGGCTGGGGGCACAATCTGACTAGTATTGGATACCGTTTCAACGGTCAGGCAACTGGACAAGTCTGTGAGTTCTAGGATGAAACAATATTGTAAGCATTAGGTAGAGGAGAAAGAGATTTTCCCTGAAGGCCAGTCCACTTGTGGATTATGGGCCCGAAGCCATGGGATCCCAAGGATGAGAGGGAACATGGGAGAACATAAGATGTAAAAGCAAAGGAATTCTTAATGACCCGGGTCTGTGGACGTCAATATAGGAATAAGAAAAAGAGAGGAAGGCGCCTCTAAGTGCAGTATTGACAATTTATTCAGTAACAATAGAAAATTTGCACTTACAAGATAAATGGTTAAAAAGACTCATAGTGTGGTAATTAGATGCAAGTGGGACATCCAGCCGTCCAGCAGCAAACTATGCCTATAGGATCAGGAAGTAGAGTCCAGGATGTGCCTGTGCATCAAAAATGAAGCTTGGAGAGCAGAATCAGATGTAGCAGGTGAAGGGGGCGGTAATGCATTTTGGAGCATGCTCAATAGGCTCCTTCTTCAGACCTCAGGTCCTTCAGACAGGCCAAGCCGATACTGGTATTAGAGGGCGGCTTCATTCTAACCTGTGTCTGCAGACCATTCTACAGTGTAATCTTCCACCGGGTGATGACCTTGTTGGAGGGAGTGAAGGGCAGCTTCTGCTGTTGCCATGCATTGCGGATCGTCATAGAGCTGAGACCTGGCATGAAAGAAGGTTGCAACGGAGTTTAGAACAGGGCTTTTCAGCTCCAGGAGATGATGTGCCCAAGATTGAGGTTCATCGGTAAGTAATGAAATAATGAACCCCACTTTCACAGTCTCTACAGAGAAAGTTCTAGAATGGAGTGCCAGATATAACTGACGTGCATTATTAAAAGCTTTGAATGTTCATCAGTCCCCTGAAAAGTTTTTAGGAACTGGTACACTTGGCTCTGGAGGTGGTATCATCACTGTGGGAGCAACTACTGCAGATGACCTACCAGTTGGAAATAGCCAACTTGTAGATTCTTGACTGCTAGCATGAGGGCAGCAACCTGTTGGCACAGAGCCTCTATCAGGGAGACACCTCTGTCAGCCTCTAACATTATGTCTGGATTATACTGTCATGTACCTGACCAGAGGCTGAGGTGATAGGAGGGCTCCCCTTATGGCTAAGTGCAATGCACCCTTGAAGCTGGTAACAGAAGGTACAGTGCCCAAAGATGCACGGGTTGCCAATGATGTAGTTGCCCGGTGATACTCGATGAGACGACACCTGTGGGTGGACAAGATACAGGAGCGGACTCTCCAGAGGACTGGAGGATCCAGATGGATGGGCGGAACAGGAAGCGTAGTCAGAAACCAGAGCCAGGGTCAAACACAGAGCATCAAACAGGAGTAAGGACAGGAGTGAAGTCAGGAGCAGGCCATGCACAAGTCATCAGCCAGGAATAGGCAGGAGCAGATCCTAGGAACAAGCCGGGGTAAGAGCCAGGAGAGAAGCCAAAGCAGGTTAGGGTCAATCTGGGTTGGTAAGGGATAATTAGCAGGGTAATTCACAGAGGAACAGGAGGCTGAGGATAATCCAGCAATTACTGTAAGGGGCTGCAGTCCTTATAAAGGTCACTGGGTACCAGCAACTATTGCGTCCTGCGTGTGCCGTTGCGCACATGGATGCATGACTGTGTGGAGTGCGCCTATGTGCATGCACACATTTTTGCGCAAATTAGCATGGCCATATAGGACACTGGCGCATTTGCTACTGCTTCCTCGTTTCCTTCCCTGACAGTATCACTAGTAAAAGCAGAATAATACAAGGATATCAATCCTGCGAGAAGAAGATATCAATCCACTCAAGAAGAGTGACTTCCATAGGCTGGATAAAGAGCAATACTGAGCTCTAATGGCATGGTGGAGTTGGTAGTAGTAAAAAAACCAGAAAAGTTCAAACCTCTTGCATATATACCCTGTGAGGTATATACAGTATGTGACACAAACATTTATTACCTTTGGAGGACCACTTTTGCATATTGGGAATAGTTCTTCATTCCAGAAGAGATGGATTCGACCACAGGGGAGAGTTAGGTGAGGTGGACCATTTGGCAGGCAGAAGACATTTCTTACTATGGAGGAACAAGGAAAGTGTAGTATTTACCAAACCTGTACCATGAAGGGGAAGGACCTGATCTCTGTAAATAATATTATGCAATGTCTCAAAGGAAAAAGCTATGGCAGCCTCAGTGGCTGCACAGGCCTTATCTCCCTTCTTTACTGTCGAGCATGCACACAGGGTCCCAATCCACCCCTTGTCACCGGGTAACCCGCCTAGAACTTTTCTCATTCGCTTACTGAATTATAGAGATAAAGACAGCATTCTACATTGGGCTAGATTGATGAATGAACTATAATATAATATTTAAAAAATCAGGTTGTCACGATCAGGGGTCAAGCTCAAAGACCAGTTGCTATAGCAGTGGAAAGGCTTACCTGAAACCAGTAGGATAGGTACACAGGCAGGTCACCATGGCTTAGGAGTGGGATCACCCGAGGTGCGGAGTCTAAGTACCAACCGGTGTTCACCAGAGCTCCTAATGGTGGAGATGGATTTGGTTGCGTGTTAGCACCAGGTCGCGGTCCTCGGGATCACCCCACCAGGAGGTGAGCAAGCTGAGGTCCGGTAGCGTATAAACAGGTAAGGACCACGGAAGCGTGGTCAGTAAGCAAGCCAAGGTCGGTAAGGAGCAGACGCAGGTTGGGATCAGGCAGAAGCGTAGTTGAGAACAAGCCAAGGGTCAATAACGGGTGTTGCAAAATACTGATAACAGCAGAGATGATAAGGAGCACGATATTGGCTGGAGAGCACAATAATCTGGCAAAGAGGAAGTGCAGAGACATGGTTTATATCAGGAAGTTCATGGGAGGAGCAAGGGGTTCAAGGTTCATGATAAACAAGGTCAAGGTAGGATGATCCAAATAATTGTCAAGGGAACTGTCCAGCATTCCAGGTACCTCAGCAAGAAGAAACATTGCCACTCACCGCAGAAGGCTCTGACACAGGTGTTTTCATGATTTTATTCCGAAACACGTAAGTGCACAGTTCATTTTCAAGAGGTTAAAAAGAGAAAGCAATCTTTGAATTTGTTATGCTCCATGTTTTATCCAGCTTGGATTAAAGTAATACATGAAGGCCAAGTCCATTTTTTCGATTCACCTCAGACTGCATATGTTTGGTTTCATTGTTTGTTTGTTTTTTTTTATAACAACTAAGGACTGTGCTTTGCCTTCTGTTCCCTTCTCCTTTGGGAGGCTGAATTTTGTGGAGCTTTGCTACCTCTTATCTACAGTAAGTCCATGGCCTGCAAGTTATGAAGCTGACAATTTTTTTGAAAATTGCTTTGTTGATACTTGAATACAAAAAAAGCGTAGTTGGCTAGTGCAAAGCCGCCTGGAAAGTGGTTAATTAAATCCTATGTGGAGTAATATATTACTACAAGGGTAAATGCGATATTGTATTTATTTGATCACTTAGATCATGGAAAAAGATTGACATTGACAGAGTTCAATATGTTCAATATTGCAATCATATTAAAATCAAAGAATTAAAATAAAGAACCGTTTGGCGTCTTCAAAAACGGCTGTGTAGGCAAAAATGATCAATATGAGGCAATGGAATTTCCTTTCTGTATTCATCTGCAGTAAAGTTCCATACTGTATAGCCTAGTGAAATTGTTTTCTTCTTTAGCTGTTCCTTTATGAACATCACAGTAAAAATGGATGAAATCCTAGGAATTAAATAGTAGATGGTAGTGAATACATAGGAGGCAAGGGATAATAATCTTGACATCATCCTAATAGGATGCACATATTCAGATTAATTGAATGTTGGATATATCTCTCTTTACCTTCTCAGTGACTGTGCCATAAAAGACATGGTGGGTATAGACCTTCCTGTATAGCCAACATAGATGAAAATGAATCCACAATAAAAAATGACTAAAAGTGAATAAAAATTAAATGGTGAGGAATAATAGCAATTGTGCTATAGTACCATGTGAATTACCATGAGGAAGGTCAGAAAAAATTCTTCTTACTGTAGATGTGAAAAAACATAGATGTATTGGTAAAGGAGTAGCAGTCCAAAGCAGTTAATATGGATATTCCAATAAAGGATATTAAAACATTAATGGTTCCTTTCATAAATGCCCCTCTAGGGGTTCCAAAAATTACTCTTCCTAACGAGTTGGTGTGGTTCCTATATAGATGCATGAGACTAGTGTCCCATGTCGCTGGCTGTATGACACACGGTATATATATATATACCTATTGAGTCCGAAAATTCCCCTCAGTCTAGGGCTTAGACAAATCTATTATTGTATAGGATATAGCTTCCGTTTATAAAAAATTGTGGTCTAAAGTAACTCAGCTTAACACACTATTACTTGCCACCGGTGGAAGTGAACTGAGTCACTTGAATCGCCAAAAAAGCTCCTCAGAGTGATTGCCTTGTTGTTTTCTATATTGTCTCATGCTTATCCAAGATGGAGCTGCAATGCTTGACTCCTTCCCCTCATGGATACCGCAGCCTATGAAGACGCCGAGCGTGATGATGTCATTACGTTGATGCGTTTTGTCCACCAATCATTGCAGACTTCATCAGAACTGGGAGGGGACTACTCATCCATTGCCTTATATAGTGCCTTAATTGTGCCTTTTTTAACCACTTCCCGAACGGCCGTTGCATATAAACGGGACGGTGGCAGTGCAGGGTCGGGTGGCCGTTTATAAACTGCCTCCCCGTACCCTGCTTGTGTGTGCTCTCTCGGAGCACGCAGCACCGCGATCCGGTGCCCGCTGCTGTGTCCTCCGGACACAGTGAAACACCGATCGTCGGACGGGACCTCTGTACGAGGTCCCGATCATGTGATCAGTGATTGGCCAATCAGTGATCACATGCAAAGTAGTAAGCAAGATGTCACTTCTGACATCATTGCTTACTACGTGTGAAATCTGTGAATGATCACAGAGGCCACATGGTACAAGGCTATTCACAACAGCCTTGTACCATGTGACAAGCTGTGACCAATCACAGCTCACTCAGTACTTCTCAATGAGTGCAAGAATGCACACAGAGAGAAAGAGAAATGATTGCTTTTACATCCTATATGGGTGTAAAAGCAATCAGTGTGAAAAAAAAAAAATCTTCATCACCCCCCCAAGTAGTACAGTGTCACCATGGTACTGCTAGGGTGACACTGTACTGCTAGGGTGACAGTATGTAAAAAAAATAAAAATAAATAAAAAATAATATAAAAAAATAAAAATAAAAATGTGAAAAAAAATGTTTAAAAATTATAATTTTTGGTTATAAATAGAGATGAGCGAATTATTCAAAAATTCGATTCGACTGATTCGGCAAATTCGTGAAAAAAATTTTGATTCGAGTCGAATATATTCGCTGCGAATTTAACTTATAAAAGGGTGTTTCTAGGCTTCAGAGAGCCTTTATATTAGTGCAGAACACTGTACCTTTAATTTAAATGCCCTTGGAGTCTGCTGGGGAAGAGAAATAATACTGACAGTCAGTATGACATGCAGATGAGTGCCGTCGATCTTAGAATCACCGCACACTTCACTCATTTGGGCAGTCACGGGGCCAAAACCAGAGTGTGGAGCCACAGTGTGGCGGTGGAGGCAGCAGCAATGGGAGGCCATACAGCACCCTATGACAAAAATGGAAACCACCAGCAGTGTGAGGAGACCTGAAAGTGGCACATGGCAGAGTGTGGCGATGGAGACAGCAGCAATGGGAGGCCGTACAGGGACCCATGACACACTCTGGACCTGGCAGCAGCATGAGGAGGCAGTACAGGGGCCCATGACAGATTACGGGCCTGGCAGCAGCATGAGGAGTTGGTATGGGGGCCCATGGCAGATTACGGGCCTGGCAGCAGCAATGGGGAGGCCGTACAGGGACCCATGACACACTCTGGACCTGGCAGCAGCATGAGGAGGCGGTACAGGGGCCCATGACAGATTACGGGCCTGGCAGCAGCATGAGGAGTCGGTACGGGGGCCCATGACACACTCTGGACCTGGCAGCAGAATGAGGAGGCGGTACAGGGGAGCATGACAGATTACGAGCCTGGCAGCAGCAACTTGGACAGGACGACGTTCAGCTTCTGCACCGTCGGGTGCGTGCTCGCAAACTGTTGTCTCTTGGAAACGGATTCCAAGAAAGACTGCTGACTGAATCCGTGAAGAGGAGTAGCAGGAGAAGGAGCATCTGAACGAGCGGAATATGCCAACAAGCGACAACAGGGGCCCATGACAGATTACGGGCCTGGCAGCAGCATGAGGAGTCGGTACGGGGGCCCATGGCAGATTACGGGCCTGGCAGCAGCAATGGGAGGCCCGTAATCTGCCAGCACCCTATGACAAAAATGGAACACACCAGCAGTGTGTGAGGAGACCTGAAAGTGGCACATGGCAGAGTGTGGCGATGGAGACAGCAGCAATGGGAGGCCGTACAGGGACCCATGAGAGACTCTGGACCTGGCAGCAGCATGAGGAGGCAGTACAGGGGCCCATGGCAGATTAGGGGCCTGGCAGCAGCTATGGGAGGCCCGTAATCTGCCAGCACCCTATGACAAAAAATGGAACACACCAGCAGTGTGAGGAGACCTGAAAGTGGCACATGGCAGAGTGTGGCGATGGAGACAGCAGCAATGGGAGGCCGTACAGGGACCCATGAGAGACTCTGGGACCTGGCAGCAGCATGAGGAGGCGGTACTGGGGCCCATGGCAGATTACGGGCCTGGCAGCAGCAATGGAGGCCCGTAATCTGCCAGCACCCTATGACAAAAAATGGAACACACCAGCAGTGTGTGAGGAGACCTGAAAGTGGCACATGGCATGAGACACTGTGGACCTGGCAGCAGCATGAGGAGGCGGTACAGGGGGCCCATGGCAGATTAGGGGCCTGGCAGCAGCTATGGGAGGCCCGTAATCTGCCAGCACCCTATGACAAACAATGGAACACACCAGCAGTGTGTGAGGAGAGACCTGAAAGTGGCACATGGCAGAGTGTGGCGATGGAGACAGCAGCAATGGGAGGCCATACAGGGACCCATGACACACTCTGGACCTGGCAGCAGCATGAGGAGGCGGGACAGGGGCCCATGGCAGATTACGGGCCTGGCAGCAGCAATGGGAGGCCCGTAATCTGCCAGCACCCTATGACAAAAAATGGAACACACCAGCAGTGTGAGGAGACCTGAAAGTGGCACATGTTTGGGGCATGATTCATGGCGGATTTAGTCAGTTGTGTCAGGAACTGGTGGTTTGAAATCCAGACTAATCCACGCCTGATTCATTTTCACAAACGTGAGTCTCTCCACACTTTGGGGTGGACAGTCGTGTCCTCCGCGGAGTTACAATACCTCCTGCCGCACTAAACACGCGCTCCGATGCCACGCTACTGGCCGGGCATGACAGCCTTTCAAGGGCAAATTCAGCTAGTTGGGGCCAAAGGTCAAGTTTCGTTGCCCCAGTAGTCAAGGGGATTGTCTACCTTGGTTGGCAGGGGGCTGTCCAAGTAGGCCTAAGCCTGTTGTTTGAGGTCCTGCTCCAGGTCCACCTGATGCTGCTGGGTGCTGCGGCTGGTTAGTAGTTTCCTCACTGCGCTGGTGAAGAAAGCTACTCATCATCGACTGCAGACTGAGGCAGCTGCTGCTGGTGGAGCTGCCACTGCTCCTACCAACCCCACCACTCCCCTGCTGCCATGGCAGCGGAAGGCGAGCGCACAGGGCCCACAGTGTCTGAGGATGGACGTTGGCTCAGAAAGGCAGAGACCAGCTGACTAC